GGGGAGCGATCGTCGCGATTCAGAGGAAATCAGTCGTTCTGGTTGGACCAAACAGCATCACTGGCCGGAGCAAAACACACTCGGGCTGCATAAGGTTGGTTGGCTGCCCTGGGCCCTGGACCATCTTGCAGAGATTCTCGTTCCTCTCGCTCGCCTCCTTCCGAAAACCCGGCACTTGCTGCGGGATCCGCAGAAACGGCTTCTAAGGGGTCTCCACGGCGGAAGTTGCGTGCAGGCGTGTTTTTAATCTGCGGTTGCCGCCATCCAACGCGGCGAAACGGGCTGCGAGGCGTCGGGAAAATAGATCAAGAAAACCGGGTAAGAGAGAAACGCTTCGCACGTTTCAGATTTTCTTGAACGGTACTGCCAGAGTTGGACTTGGTCCGGGATTAGCTGGGGGACCTGTTTTCAGTTACGCTGAAGTTTTATTCCAGATATGCCTTTCCTTGAAAAACAGTTCCCATGAAGTGTAATGATAGCTTCTAGGCACGCGCCGAGGGCCTTCTCCATCACCACGGCTCGTGAGCCGTCTTGCATGGGTCCATCTCCAAGGCAAAAGGTTCATTTGCAGCACGTGAAGCACGCCAGCCTTTGAGGCAGGCAGCCTTCCGCAGAACAAGCCGGCAGGGCAGCGCTGCTCGAGCAAAGGGGGTGGATGGAGAGCCATGCCATTTTAGAGGCAGAGCACCCTATTCTGGAAGTGGGTGCTCATTTTCCTGAGAATATTTGAATTGCTTTGGCTGACCACAGCCCTATAAGGTAGGCCAGCATTGTTCCCAGAGGTCCGATCAGGGAAGAGACTGACCCAGAAAAAGGGAGCTTATCTGAGGTCTCCAGATAAGCGTTTAATGAGAAAAGCAAAAATCAAAGCAGAGACTTCTTGATTTACCATTTATTCTGAGAGCAAAAAGATAATTGGAGCATTCAGAACATGCCTCTGTCCCCAAATGGTAATAATAAATTATGAGAGATACTCTTTATCTTGCTATTGCTTTAAAATTCTGGAGGCTTCTAGCAGTTAGAAAGAGAAACAGTCCAGGGGCTTGCAGGCCCTAGACATGAAGGAAACATATCCTGATTCTCCCCGTAGTTAATATGGGGAAACAATCCTCAAGGAAGTTCTCCAGCGTATGCTCCACAAGGGCTGGCACAGGAGAACTTCTCCACTTCGTCATCTTTAAGGGCTCCTCAGCGCCAAGGCACATGGAAAAATCAGCAAGAGAAATCCAAGCTTGTGATTTGTTTTGCTGTGGAATGACTGCATGACTTTTGGGGAGCTACACATTTTGGGTTCTGTGAATTTGATAACATAACCCACTTCACAAGATTGTTAGGAAGACCAAGGCAATAAAATACTTGACAAATTAAAAGCTCTACAGAACTGATAAATAGTCATTGCTTTCAAGCTCTCCTGGATAAATCAAGTTAACTTTCTAAAACAGAGAGCATCCTAATTTGAAAATACATTCTGCTGAATTCTTCTTCCTAAACCTTAAAGGACTGGGAATAAATACTGCTTAATTAGCCTATTCATATTCACTCCATACAGATAACAAAATAAGCATCTATACTGTATAGCAGTGGTGTTCTTTGCATGTAGTAAGCTGTGGCCTATTTCACCGTGATTTATTGTGTGAACCACTGAGGTCACACAACATGCTAAATCAGAACAGACCAACATAATGCATCAACTCAGCCTGTATTTCTGTTCTGTTCCATTGGCAAAGGCAAACATAGAGTTGAATCATAGAGTTGAGGGGAATTGTCTAGTCATTAATCAGCCTACACACCTTGCTTTCTTATTCCCATCATGTCCCCAAATCTTAGACTTAATGGGTTGTCCAAACATCATCTGTTTTACCGAAGTCAAAGATTTGTCACAGATTAAATGGCCTCAGCATGTGGTGGCACCATAGCCATTGTTCTTTAGATGTAAAATGGGGGTTTCAGTCTATGTTAATTATAACTTGTTCATCTTTTTAACTAGCTCTGGCCATCTTCAGCAAAGAGCTTGAATTGCAACCATTGATACCTGAGGACAGTTTCTATGCTATGAAAAACTTTCCTCTTGAAAGCATAGGAATAAAACAGGTTGCTTTCTGGTTAGTTGGCAACCCAACATTATGACTTAAGGATTATGAAATCCATAATTAAGTCATCCTAAGTGTTACTGCTGATTCCTATTTTTGTAACTGGATACAGAGGTTTGTACATAAAATATACGAACAGTTAAATAGTTTTGAAGGATGCATCATGTGTATAAGAAGATGCCACCTTTTCCCTTTAAAATATATTATAAGTTGAGAGGTTGGTCCATTTCCTGGGATGTGTTATATGTCTGTTCTTGGCATTAATCTGCCCACATTCAAGCTCTTCAAAACTTTGCTAGGCTGTAATCGCACAAACCATGATATAGAAGAAGATGTCCACAGTAGAACATGTCCTGGCCTCTTCTGTTCTACCTCCCCAGGTATACAACTTCTAGGGAAACTAGGGACCTTTCAGCATGGGGGGTGAAATGGGAGGTGTTTCAATCTTCTACTTCACTGGCAGGGTTGCTTCTAACCCCAGTACTGCATACATTGAGTTTCTAGATGATGTTCTTGAAAAAGTGACATACAGTTGCAAGAAGTTGCATTATACTGGCTGTGGCCACAAACATGCTTCATCAGTGCAAGGAAAGAATTAGTAACCTTCTGATTAATTCTAACCTTGCTCATTTTTTGTTAGTGTGCTATGCAGACCCTGCCCCCCTTGATTAGTTCATGGATCAGTGGGTTGTGGGAACCCAAGAAATAGGTTACACTTGTGGGAATGCAGCCATCAAGTCAGATTCTGGTCCAGATAGCTCAGTTATATACAGGTAGTCCCCAGTTTAAGAACAAGTTCTGTTCCCAAGGTCTGTCCTCAAGTTGAATT